ACAGAGTAGAAGAAAATATTTGCCAGCTACACATATATTCTGATGTCCAGAATGTATTGGGAACTCAAAAAACTAACCTCTCCCAAAATTGGGCAACTGAACTAAACAGAACTTTCTCAAAAGAAGAAATTCAAGTGGCCAAAGAACACAGGAAAAAATGCTCACCATCTCTAGCCATAAAGGAAATGCAAATTAAAGCCACACTAAGATTCCACATCACCCCTGTTAGAATAGCCATCATCAAAAACACCACCAACAACAGGTGTTGGCGAGGATGTGGGGAAAAAGAACCCTTGTACACTGCTCATGGGATTGCAAACTAGTACAATCACTCTGGAAAAAAATTTGGAGACTTCTTAAAAATCTAAACACAGACCTGTCATATGATCCAGCAATTCCACTCCTGGGGATATACCCAAAGGAATGCAACACAGGTTACTCCAGAGGCACTTACACACCCATGTTTATTGCAGTGCTATTCACAATAGCCAAGTTATGGAAACAGCCAAGATGCCCCACTATTGATGAATGGATTAAGAAAATGTGGTATTTATACACAATGGAATTCTACTTAGCCATGAAGAATGAAATCTTATCATTTGCAAGTAAATGGGTGGAACTGGAGAACATCATCCTGAGCGAGGTTAGCCAGGCTTGGAAGACCAATAATCGTATGTTCTCCCTCATATGCAGACTTTAGATCAAGGGCCAACACAGCAAGGGGATTGGACTTTGGTCACATGATAAAAGCGAGAGCACACAAGGGAGGTATGAGGATAGGTAAGACACCCAAAAAACTAGATAGCATCTGTTGCCCTCAACACAGAGACTCTAAAGCAGATACTTTAAAGCAACTGAGGCCAATAGGAGAAGGGGATCAGGAACTAGAGAAAAGGCCAGTTCAAGAAGAATCAACTTAGAATGTAACACATACGTACATGGAAGTAATGCGAGGAATCTCCCTGTATAGCTATCCTTACCTCAACTAGCAAAAACGCTTTGTCCTTCTTATTGTTTATACTCTCTCTTCAACAAAATTAGAGATAAGGACAGAACAGTTTCTGCCTGGAAGCGAAGGTGTAGGGGGGAAGAGGGAGGGGGCAGGAGGTAGTGGGGAGAAATGGCCCAAACATTGTATGCACATAGGAATAAACAAAAAAAAGGAAAAAATTTTAAAAAAATAAATTTATAAGCAAAAAAAAAAAAGACAAACACTACATGATCCTACTTATAAGTGGAAAGTAAAAAAAAAACATAATAAAATTGGTCTCATAAAAAAAAAGGAGTGCTTTTCTCACCACCTGTACTTTTACACAGTCTTTTTGGTTTTTTTAACTTTTCTTTCTACTTCTGGCTTATCTCACTTAACATGATGCTCCCCGGTTTCATCCATTTTGTTGCAACTGACGGATTCTATTCTTCTTTATGGCTGAATAATACTCCATTGTGTATATATACCATATTTCTTTCCTCATTCATCTGCTGATGATTATCTAGGCTGATTCTGTAGGTTGGCTATTGTGAGTAGTGCTGCAATA